ACTATTTATTATTGTTATATGTTATGTTATTTCATGCCTCCAAGCCATTCTACCTATTTACTTACTCTTCCCTAGCAACCCGGAAAACTGTTACCTTTAAAGACTGCTCAGATATTGCTATTTGTTTTTAAAGAATTTTATAATGAAGAGTGAAGTATTTACTGTGGAGTACTTTGTTCTGACTTTCAACTCTTAGTAATTCACATATCAGTCAATCAACAAATGTTATTAGGTATCTTTCCTATTGCCAGCAGTCCATATGGCATCATAGGAACTTAAAAGAAAAGGAGAAATGTATGATAATTATTTTTGTTTCTGTAATTTAGTTGGGGGATGATACTGACAAAATAATTGGAACATTGTAAGTCCTAAACTTTGCAGTACCAGCTGTAAGTAAGAGTCCAGAAAAAGAGAAACAATATGATCTACACTGGATAGAGAGAGAGACATATCCTTAATAGTTTGAGTGTCATGAGGCATGTCTGATGGTGGTCTTATGATGTCTCACCACGTTATCTTACATCATAGTTCTGCCACCTATTTTGTGTGTCCAATAACTCTTCGTTGTTTTTTTTTTTTTTAATTTTATTGGGGAATTGGAGAAGGGAAACAATGTTGGGGAATTGGAGAAGGGGAACAGCCAAGTTGTTGTCCTTCAATCTTAGTTTTGGAGGGTCCAGCTAGCTCAACTCCAAGTCCAGTCGCCATCTAGCTGCCTCTTGGCAGCTCGTGGCCACTCAGCTCAAGGTGACGTGTTCAATCTTAGTTGTGGGTTGGCGTAGCCCACCATCCCATGTGGGAGTCGTACCGGCAACCTTGTTGTTAGGAGCACGTGCTCTCACCAGCTGAACCATCTTGCTAACCTGTTGGCAGTTCAGCGGCAGCTCAGCTCCGGCTCAGCTCACTGGCCCTTGTGGGAATCAAACCGGCGACCCTGTTGCTCAGAGGTTGCGCTCTTAGCCAACTGAGCCACTCGGCCAGCCCAATAACTATTTCTTGAGTAAATGAATGAATTCTCAGCTCACAGACAAAGTAAAATATGAGTCAGGAATAAAGGATTGGTATTTGGATCTGACATTTATCTACTATGGCGTGTGATTAATTCTGAAATCTGTATTCCCTTATTCATCAGGATGAAGAGTAGGCGTTAATACCAAAAGCCAACAAACATTAATTTCTTTCTGTACATTTTTCCAAAGGAATATATAAATGAAAAAAAGAAAAATGTACCATGTACATAAATGTCAAGGACATTTATTAAGATTGTATTTGAAGAGCGTCTCAAAGTTGAGGTTCTCAAATTTTGTGTTTACAGAATTAGGAAGACAGGATTTTTTTTTCTTGCCATTAAAAAAGCCAAGCTCTTCTTTGTTGCAAAGCATTGATCCAACAAATGCTTGATACAGTTAGCTCAAAGGCATAAAACAGCTGTAGTGCTATAAGGTGGCATCAGGGCCAGTATGTGCAAGAGGAGAATATCAGGACAACTCTGAAGAATTTATTCTAATTTGGAAAAATCTCTTAATTCTGAATAGTTTTTGTTAGGCACGGCTGAGGAATGAGTCGCAGGAGACCAAAATTCGTCAATTAAAATGTATTTGGCATGTTTGAGCAGCGGGAGGTCAGGTTAGAAAAGACCATAACCTCCCTGAGTAAGAGGGCTATGGGGGAGGTAACCAAGGCTGTTCCCCCTTCAATGCTTCAGGGGCTTTTCCATGCATCATCATCACCACTGAGTTTTGGGGTGTGGCCATGTTCTCTTGCTCTGTATCCTGGTTTCCATGCCGTTGTCTGGGAATGTACAGGTCCAGTGATCATGGGCTTGTGTGTGAAAAATACAAGCCAGCAGGTACAAGCAAGCAGGGAGCAAGACAAGATGGCTTCTAAGATAAGAAGGTTTGTATTCAGCACATTCCCTGAGGTTTCTTCTGCTCCTGGTCTAACAGTTTTTGCTATTGATCTGTAGCCATTCACCCTTTTGTTGACATTGCTCTTTCTCAGTAGCTGAGAAATCTCTCTGTATCTCTTTTGGACTCTGCTTCCACTCTTAATCTGGGTTAGTGTATTTTTTTTTTAACCTCTCTCAAGCATAGAAGGGCTGAGCCTATTTTACTCTGATTGTTTTACATTATATTCCCCTGCCGGAAATGAATTCTAGGATCCATTCACTGTAGACCTTTCTCAGAGAAAGGTAGAATTTTCAGAGAGAGGAAGATGTGCTCTTCTTTGATGTTTTTCTGGAGGCTCCTCCAGCCTTCTCTCTTCCCAGGGCATGCTGGCTTTGCTTCCTCTCCTGCAACCCATCCCTGGGCCCCCTGTGGACTAGAAACAAGCTAGGGTTCAAGTGTTATCTCTACTACCCATGAACTTTGACATCTTTCGTAGGCCTCTTATTCAACCTAGGTCTTATTTTTCTCATCTGAAAAGTGAGGATAATGTTGTGTACTTCTTATGCTGTTTTGAGGATTACATGATAGAGTCTTTAAAGTAGCACAGATAATTCAGAAATTGTATCTCTGAATAATCGAGGCTCAGCTAAATATCATGATTTGTATTTTTTCATACATTCACGGTAGCTATGATAGGGAAATTTCTCTTTTCTACCTTTTATATAAAGCTTTCTTAACTAAAGGAAGAAGGAGGAAATAGATATGCTCAAACAGCAGTTAGAAGCTTAGAATCACTTTGTATCAATATTTTCTCAGAAAATGTTCCCTGTGGCTTTTTTAAGAAATATTTTTTGTATCGTTTTACCAGTGGGAAAGAAACTGTTAACTTTGTATAGAAATAAATTATTCTAGTCTGAGGCAATGATCCTATCATCAATGGATTAAAATCAATGCCTCCAGATAATCAGCTCCATTTAGCACTCCTCTTTGCCTCCTTATCAGCTTTCCTTTCTTCACTAAATTTCCTCGCCCAAGGCCTTTTCTTTATTTGCAGAAGTTTTAGTTTTACTCTACTGACTTGATAATGATGCAGTGTTTCTCTCAGGATTTATCATGGCCTCATACTGAGACAGGCATTTTGTTTTAACAATGCAGTTCCTCAAAGACTGGCTGCCAGAGCCTATAGTGGCTCTCCAAACCCAAACTTTACAGATTAATAAGCAGGACACTCTGTGAACACTACAGAAGACACTTTGAATGTTTTATGGGCTGAGGTAATCAAAGTACTTTTTTTTTGAGAGACAGATTAATTTAAACCGTAAACCTGTTAATATGAAACTAAAAATGTCAAAGAAAGGTAACTTTTATTCTGAAAAAGAGAAGAATCATGGAGAAAGTATAGAGTTCTAAGAAATAACCTCCACCTTTTCCAGTCATTCATCCTACTAATAATATGTATCCATAATGTGAGTGGGAGTTAACCCGCACAAATATGCATGAGTAATGTCAGAAACATGAACTATCCACTGTTCAAAAATAATTTCAGGCAATATCGTTTGCCGAACGTGCATGTCAAAGTTTTATTAAAAACTTGCTGTGCAGCAGACTTAACAATTTCCCTCTTGGTAGGGACATTTTCTGAGAAAAGACTGTGGCAAGATAAATATTGTCAGAGGAGGTACTGAAAGAAAATATGCTGATTAAAATTCTCTAGACCCTTGACTGATGGACAGAGGAGGGATGGGATGATTGGTTGGTTTCCTTAACAAACTTTTTTTTGTTGTTATCAAATGTCCTTTAATTTAGTTGACAATATGATACATATTGTATAAGAAACGCACAGTAGCTTTGCAGTGCAATTTCAAAGTGTATACTAATTGGAATACAGAGGTTAAACACTGGTGTACTGATAGCATTTTTGAACTTTGGATAAACTGCATACAAAACTTAGAATTCAAATATTAGCCAATCTGGAAACTTTACTTCCCATAATATAAAAATGATACTTTGAGATGCAAAATATTTTTTTTCACTAAACAAACTATATAAACATTTAAAATAATTAAAAACTCAACTTTAGAATTTATAAAGATTAGCTATAAAAATATATTGGCAGTCACTTTTATAAATGTACCATTCACTACATTACAAAATAGTCTCTAACATAAAATGGCTTTAATAACTGTACTATTTTAGAATCTGATAAACCATACATTAAATCGATTATAAAATCCTCTTGGGAAACTTTGGTATGCATCTTCAGAAGGTTTTTAAAAAATACTCTAATATCACCTCAAGGGCCTGTAAACATTCCATTCTATTAAAGCACAACAGAATAAGTAATGTATATTCAACTGCTTACAAGATATAAAATCAAAAAACAATTATATCTTTGTAGAAAATCACCAGAATTCCCAGAATAACCAAAAAACAAACTATTTAAAAGTATCAAACTTTTAAACAGTTCTCTTTCCATTCTGATTTAAAAATACTACAAAATCACCACACTCCATTCATGTACCTTAAGTAGGACAAGGCCTCAAAAGCAGTATAACCCAGTCTCAAAAAAGTCTCTGATTCCAATAAACAAACTTAAAAACTCATTTAAAAAACTTGACAATAGAACAAGTATATGTATTCAGACACATAATTTACATATTTAGTTATGTATTAGCTCTTCTTTTATATTTGTAATTTAAAATTTATTGGCAGAAATAAGATATACACATACACACAACTGAAAAAAGTAAGTTTTAGGAAATAGTAAGAAATGCAAACCTATAGGGTAAATTGATTTTTAAAATTTCAATTTACCAAATTTTATCTATGATTTTTAGATTACTGACAATGATTGTTATTTAGAAAATTCAAACTGATGCAAGTTCATTTCCTGCTTCTTGAGTATGTTTAATTTTTAGAGCTTCCAGTTGTGCTAGTAACTTCCTTGAGGTCATTTTCCACTTTATCCTCTGTCACCAGATCTCTTGCATAAGACATTTATCTCTGAGTTGCAAAAGCCTAAATAAAAGCTTCATTTTTGACCTTCTAATTTATAAAACTCCACTAAACAGAAAAAAATCCATCTAATTCTTAGACAAGTCCACAAAATACAGTCTTTAAGAATCAAACACTTATGGGAATAAAGATCCTTCAAAGTATTTAACTCTTCTATTAGAGTTTTATTTTGATTTTCCAGGACTGCAACTCGATTTTCGAGGCATTTCACATATTCTTTCTTCTTTCTGCGACATTCTCGAGCAGTTTCTCTGATTCTTGTCTGGAATATTTTGATTGTTCTTGGCCCTTTACTCTTCTATAAATTTTAGAATCAACTTGTCAGGTTCTTCAAACAACCTGTTTTCATCAACCTTATTTCTCTTTTTAATTGGGGGTCATCTGTCTTAGTTGTCGGAAATGTAAGAGTCACCGGAGAGGTCATCACCACAGTTTGTGGCAGCGAAGTAGCTGAAGGTGTGGTATGGATTTGATATGTCTGCATATCTCCTGATGCAGTTTGGACAACCACCTGGTTGCTGGGCACAAGTATTTGCTGTCCATCAGAAGTCTGCGCATACTGGAGAATTGTTGTACCTTGTTGACTACTGACTGAATTTGTCATGGTTAATGTCTGAAGTCCCTGTACTCCATCTGTGCCTGGACTGGCCAGGTGTAAGGCTCCATTTGGGGCAATGGCAATGTACTGTCCGGTGCTAGTCTGATAGATGGGAGTTGGAACAGACATAGAAGTGACAGCAGAAACTCCAGGGTTTTCTCCATCTCCTTTTCTGCCCTGTGTGTCTTCAGAAGATATGTCCTTCAAAATTTTTCTATAAGATGGGCGCTATAGGATCCCGTGGGGTTTCTGCGAGGAGCCTATACTATCAGATGAGTTCTGAGACTCCTCACTTTCTGATAAAGATGATACCGTTTGCACGTGTGGTGGGTGAATTACAGAAGACTGAGCTCTCTGGATGACCCCCTGAACCTGTACTTTGTCTCCAGGAAGAGGTACAATTGTCACTGGCGCAGATCCTCTTAATGACATCTGTTGAGCAATATGAGAAATATGAGCTCCCTGAGCTGTTGAACCGGGTTGCGTTGCTGTCTCTGACGTCTTGTGGGAATCTTCCATAATCAACTGTGGCTGCCGCCTTGCCGCTGACCCTCCATGAACAAATTTTAATCTTAGTAAAGTGCATCAGATAATTTCTTGAGCATTTTAGCTTCCCAGAATGAGGTTGTCAAATATGTTAAGTGGTAACTTTCTGTCCCAGATCAAGCTTGGGACATTTTTTTCCCCCCATCATTATAATTTTAAAATAAATAATTATAAATATAAATTTTAATTCTACACCAGCACCATCTGTGACCTAGCACAGCCAGCCTAAAACTTTACTGCTCAACATTCATGTATGTACAGTGTCATAAGTTTTCCCTTTCTTCACTGTTTTTGGGAAGAGCATGTAGTGGGTGGATATAAAATGCCAGGGTCTTCACACCCTAGAGCACCTGTGTGCTCCTGCTGACCTCCGAAGTATGGGAGAATTCTTGGGCCTGGCAGCAAAGGACCAAGTTCAAAGAGCCTTCAGAGTTATAAAAGCATCTTCCAACATCCCAGGTTCTACAGTTGTAGGTCACTGCAGACAAATTACTGAGCTCACGCTGCCTGACTAAAGTGTTCCAAGGAAGCAACTGTGCAGAGGAATGAATTTAGCATTAGCCGCAGGATTACCTTTAAAATGCAATAAATATGGCTATCTATGTGGGATTGCCAAATGGGCTTCAGAAAAATCAACTTGATAAAATCTAGTCTAACAAATAAAATAAGAAAATGCATGTATCTAAGTGTTAAGATTTTATCACCATAGCCATGATCATGATCATCATCATCATCATCATCTCCAGTGGCATTTTAAGGAAAAGTGGGTCCTGATAAATAGGCCTTGCTTGGTCCTGTAGAATAGGTGTGGGTGTGCAAGTTTGTTGAATAGTTCTGTATAATGAAGTAAGGAAGTGATTGCCGTTTGGGGAATCGGGAGAAAGAAGATGGAGGCTGAAAAATGGTGGGTGGTCATTGCATGAGTAAAACTGAAGGAGATTAATCCTATTGACAGTCTTCTGGGAACTATAGGATTTTGGAGCTAGACACGCCTATTTTAAGAAGTTTGCTGTGGAACGTGTGATGTAAACATAAACTTACTGTAATTTTTTGAATGAAATTTACATAGGTTACTAACACCTTTCATTCAAGTGTATTATTTCTGGATAATGCATTGAGTTCTGTGTTAAGTACTGCAAAGTCAGCAGGGGGTGCCTACTTAGAGATATATTACGTGGGAAATGAGTTGATAGAAATTTATCATACATCTTTTATTTTTAACTACAATATGCATTTGAACATCTTTTGCATCTAAACCACATCATTTTGCTTCTAACCAAATTGAGGATATATGTTAGAAACCTCTTAAAATGTCTTTCAAAGTATTCAGTCTCTTGTGCTAACTTGTCCATAAATTATTTGTAATGTCAGCATTTGCCAAAATAATTTTTGTTTTTTCAAAATGGAATCAGTTTTAACAATTTTGGAACAGAACTTGTTTTAATACAGAATAATTATCAGGCAATGATACTTTACTCAGGAAATAATATTTTCCTGTGGTAAGAGAAGCAGGATATACCTAGGAAAAGGATGGATTGTATTAAAATTGTGAATGAAAACACATATGTGCTTGAATATAGAATATATAATGTACAGTTGACATTTGAACAGCATGAGAGTTAGGGCCCTAACCCACCCTCCCACACAGTGGAAAACTGGGTATAACTTTTGACTCTCCAAAAACTTTGTAGTTGACCCTCGCTAACCCCAGGGAGAGGTTGGTTCCAATACCCCCATGGATACCAAAATCCTTGGATGTCCAAGCCCCTTATATACAGTAGCTTAGAACAATGAATGCAGTTGGCCCTTTACATCCACAGATTCTCAATCTCGGATGGAAGATACTGTTTTCAATCTGCAGTTGGTTGAACCTGTGGATGGGAAACCTGAGAATACAGATGGCCAACTGTACTCGTATATTTACTGAAAAAAAGCACCTGTATAGGTGGACCCATGGAATTCAAACCTGTGTGGTTCAGGGGTCAACTGTAGTTACATACATGTGCAACTCATAGTTTAAATATTGGTATTATTATTTTATTGATGACATTGAGGCTCAAAGGGCTTGAGTGTGTTGCCCAAGATCATATAGCTCATCAGCCTGAGCCAGACTATATCGCATTCCTGGACAAATTAGAAAAAGTTGCTCTCTGGATACCTGGAGGCTGAGTGTTGGCTGGATATCAGATCAGGCCTCTTCCAAGCCTGGCACCTTTGCACAAGACAAAACATTGCTCAACCTACCTGTCTGCCTTATGCTTTTGAGGCCCCTGCTATGCTTACTCTTCACCAATCAAATAGAAGGGGAAGACTATATATAACTATATATAACTGTTTTGGGCAGATGCACAGAAGCCAAATTATTTTTGTACTTGGATCTCTAAACAGGAGTTAGTGTTTCTTAAATAATGATGATGATTTTATAGAGTCAAAACTAATTTTGACTGAGCAGCCAGTACCTCAGTAAACACTAATGAGTGTTTATAATAGGAAAATACATCACTAGTTAGTTAGAGGAATATTTTCTGAAATAGCTTTTGCGCAAATGTGATTTACCTCACAATCAAAATCTTAACGAAGTTATTCAGGCACGGATTAATATTCTATTTCATTACTATTGGAACAATCATGAAATGGAAAGATTGAGTTATTTTTGGATGATTGTCTTTTTTTTTTTTTGGCCCTAAATGGACACAAATATATTTTTCACAAAAGTGTAGTTTGTATAAGCATCTTCCTTTTCTTTAATAATCCAGTCTGAAGGCGTTTAACATAAATTATTTTTCCTTATAACCCAAACTTTCCATTTTAAAACTGATACTTAAAATGTTATACTTTTACCCATTTTGTAAGAGGATATTATAAAAGTAAGGTGACATAATGGAAAGATTATAGGTTCTGATATCAAAGAGAACTAGGTTGCTTTTTTTTGGTTTGTTTGTCTTAAGTTATTGTCTTTCTTTGAAATTCCATTTCTTCTTCCATTAAATGTTTTCATGTGACCCACAGGGTATTGCTTGTGATCTCTGCTTCCATGTAATAAAAGTACTTGATAATTGCCAGGCAGGAGGAGGATGGAGGGTCTGCTGAATAAGAAGGGAGTTAAGTGATACAAAATTCCAGTTATAAAATAAATAAGTCACAGGGCTGTAATGTCAGCATAAGGAATATAATCAATACTATCATAATAACCTTGTATGGTGACAGGTGGTTACTAGACTTATGATGATCACATCATAAGGAATATAAATGTTAAATCATTATGTTGTATACCTGAAACTCCCAGTACTTTCTTTTCTCTCCCAGTGACTATAGTTGACATAATATTGTATGTCAACTATACTTCAATTTTTAAAAAGTACTAGTATCGCTAAACAGCATGTGTTTAATCAGCCTCACAAATCCTCCAAGACTCAAAATGCCAGGGGTACTTTACTCAGGCTGTTGGATCAACGGAAATCCCAAAGGGAGTTTCTCCTTGAACAAAGAGAATGAGAGGGTGTTATAGGGGAGAGAAAAGCAGCCAAGTGCCAGCTTTAAACATGGATTGGGACTAGTAGGAGAGGGCCATTCTAACATGGTGTGAGTCTTCTGAACTTGGAGGCTGGAAGATGCATCACTGAATTTTGTGTGTGTGTACATACGAAATAATAAACTTTGAAGCAAAGATGTGAAATGTAAGTTTTACTGGTGGCTTCTTCTTAGTAGTTCTGTCACAATTATTTTGCACTTTTAAATTCAACTTTAAGAGTTTAACTTTTCAGAAATTAAGTTAATTCATTCCAAATGTAGAGTTTGGTAAACTATGACAAACATATATACTTTTGTAAATGTAATCAACTTGTCAATTAAATGTTTTTCTCGCTCCTAAAAGACCTCCACTGTCCCTTTGAAGTCAATCCATTCCAAAACCAACTCCAGTTAACATCTAATTTCTCGCTGAGATTATAAATTGGTTTGGCCTGTCTTATAAATTTATATAAATGGAATCATATAGCTAAGTATTCCTTTGGGTTTGGCATCATTGCTTAACATGATCGTCAAATTCACTCATCTTGTTGCATATATCAGTAGTTTGTTCCATTTTTACTTCTAAGTATTGACTTGATGGATATACCTACCACATTTTCCAGTTTTGGGTTATTATGGATAAAGCTTCAGTGAATATTCAGGTATACATCTTTGTGTGGCTATCAGTTTTCTTTCTCTTGTCTAAAACCTAGGAGTCAAAGTCATGTCATATGGTAAATGTATGTGAAATTTAATAGGGAACTGTCGAACAATTTTCAAAAGAAGCTGTGCTATTTCACACTCTCACCAGCAGTGTGTACAGCTTGTGGTAGTTCTACATCCTTATGAAATATGTGGCATTTGTTTAGTCATAATATGTGTATAGTGAAATCTCATTGTGCTTTTTATTTATATTTACCTGAAGACTACTGGTGTTGAGCACCTTTTTTTTTTTTAATTTGGGGTCTAAAAACTGGGTACATCTTTTCTTTTTTTAAGATTTTTATTGGGGAATTGGGGGGATGGGAACAGTGCTGGCAAATTGGGGGGAGGGGAACAGACAAGTTGCTGTCATTTTGTCCTTCAGTTTAGTTGTGGAGGATGTTGTTTCACTGGCCCAAGTTGGCACCATCATTGCGCTCTTCCCGGGTGAGGCAGATCAGTCGCCGGCTTCTGGACAGCCGCTCCCGCTGGCTGCTGGCTACACACGGTAGCCTATGGTAACCCACTGCCACAGGGGCTGCAGCCTACGCCATCGCTGGCAACTCAGGCAGCCCAGCTCCAGGTTGAGCTGTTGTTCAGCATCTTAGCTGCAGAGGGCAGTGTCACTGGCCCTCATATGTGGGATCTGAACCAGGGCCTTCTGGCATCCCAAGCCAGTTCTTAACCATCGCGCCACTCGGCGGCCGGAGCACCTTTTGAAAAAAGGGGTTTACCAACCATTTACATATCTTCTTGAGGTA